TGTGCCTCTCGTCTGTATTGAATTTCGGGTGAGAGAGGCGGAAGCCCACGGAGATGCCAATGGCGAAACTATAAGGATGGCCAGATGATGGAATTGTTTGAAGATTGAAGGCTCTCCTCTTCCCCTTCCAGCTTTTATTTTAGGCTAGGGAGTGTTTCTACCTGACCGGAGTACAAAACAGAGCCCTGGGATAGCAGCGGAGAGAAGGGCCTCAGCCCACGTGACTGAATGCTACACACATTTGATAAACAGAACATGAGTTCGAGTCCTCATAAGTTGAGATGGGTGAAGGTAATAACGATTTTCCGATTTTCCAAGGGACAAGAGACTACCAATTTCCCGTGCAGCACCAACTTGAACCACTTAGTCGGCGAAATAGAGTAATCCACTTCAGAATCTTCCGTTTCTTCCTTGCCGCGCAGCTACGCTGCCTACGCACAGATAAAACCAAAAATACACCAAAAAAAAAGATAAAAAAGAAAGGGTCAACGATTTCTCTCCCGTCTCACCACCTGCCCAAGATTAGAAAAACTAAATAATAACAAATTAATAACAAACAAAAACTATGCTATCATTCCGTTTGATTTGGGATAAAAAACTCGCCTGGCCATTTATCTCATTGGGGCGATTTTGGCTACTACCATGCCTTCAGGGAATCCTCAACCCGGATCACAAAGGACCCAGTCAGTTTCCGAAATTCAGTCTCTAACTGAGAATAGACGACGACGGTATCTTGGAGAAGAAACCGGCAAGATACACTCCTCCCTTCGCCATTCTTTAGGGTTTCTTTTTGAAGTGCTTTTTTTTTTTTTTTTTTTACTTACACTCTTCCATTCGCTATTCTTCAGTTTTTCCCTTTTTACTTTTTTTTTTTTTTTTTTTTTTTTTTCTTTCACTTGTGGACAGTTGGGACTTGGCAGTCCCTACTTGCTGCAGTTCCAACTGACGGCCAACTCACTCATGCTCCTGTCTCTTATACACATCTAGATGTGTATAAGAGACAGGTAATTAAAAATGAGAAAGGGAAGCTCTCTCTCTCTTTGTCTCTCTCTCTCTCTCTCTCTCTCTTTTTCTGTTGTATTTTTTTTTTTTTTTTGGTTTTTTTTTTTTTTCCTGTTGATTTTTTTTGTTTTCCTGTTGATTTTTTTTTTTTTTTTGCCCAAGGCTCCAATTACAAATTTGATTACAAGCGTATACCCACGCCTCTTCCCATTAGGGCTGGAAGAGCCTCAGCCCTGTCTCTTATACACATCTAGATGTGTATAAGAGACAGGGAAGGAACAAGAAGGGCGTCACACACGTACTTG